GCTGCAGAACAGGAACCTGCTGTAAAACAGCAATTATGCTGAGTCAGGCTTGATTTTTAATGATCTTTTTCCGTTAAATCAATAAATCAAATCAATGTCAAAGAGGAATGTCTGCATGTGAACGTTTAAAAAAATGTTACCAATTATTTTAATATTTGAGACAAATTACAATCATCCTACTTACAATGTGTTAACATTTTTAAGACTTCTGACAGATTGATTTAAGACATTTTAAGGCTAATTAAGGCCTTATTTTTGGATTGATGAATTCAATGCCTTTTAAGACTTTTTAAGGATCTGTAGGAACCCTGATCAAAGATAAAAGAGCAAAAACAATCAGCTTCAGCTGTGAAGCTGTGTTTTTTTTGTGTGCAGAAAAGTTTGGCATCGTTACTTAAATTCATCTCTGGGAAACAAACACGATGCAAGAGAGTCGACAATAACTCATCTGCAAGCTTTGATTTAATAAGTCGGGCCGCAGTAACTGATGAAAAACAACCGAGCAACAACCAACGTTTAGATTCCTCAATAAATCATCTGCTGCAGCAGTTTGTAGATTTGTGAGGAAAGAAACGGCGCCGGGCTGCAGAACTAACAGACGCTGTTCACCGAGGACCACGGTGAAAACGAGAGGATTTTAAAACACTATTAATACGTTAATTAACCTCCAAAGATACGCTCTCTAAGAGTCTGTTTTTAAAGTACAGACTTCAGTGCACCTGATATGGTTTCACCCTCACCTGTCCCATCATGGTCTCCTTATACTGCTTCTTCTGTGTGACCTTAATGGGGGGCAGCTTGGTGACAGCAGAGACCAGGAAGTTCATCAGGATGTCCTCGCAGTTGGCCAGCTGGTCCACCATGTTCTTCAGGTTGGTGGGCAGGTAGTGGGTGTACAGGAAGTGATAATACCTGGAAGCACAAACCAGACGAGCTCAGATCAACTGAACAAGAAAGTTCAGGTTTAAGACCTTTTTTTTTTCCTTTTTAAATAAAACACAGTCAGGTTGATTCTCAGCTCCAATGTTCATTGATAAAAAGAAAAGATCTGCTTTAGACGAGTGTTTGAGGTACCTGTGAAACATGGCGGCGCCGGTCAGAACCATGGAGTAGTCGTTGGTCCATTTGGACGTGTAGCCCCAGCGCTCCTTGTTGCTGTCCCAGAAGTGGCTGCGGGCCGGGTAGCCCACGATCCGCTCCGGAAAACTCTGCCACACGGTGAAGGCAAAGTCCACCTGAACACAGATTAGAGGTTTTTTAATTCTCCGTACCACGACGTCCAGATTAAAGTTTATTTAGTTTAAAGGGGCTGTGACGTCAAATTGTTGTAATATATATGAATGCATTTTTAGAAAGAAGACATTGACAAAATATAGCAAAAGAAATTTCATGTCGCTGAGATGAACAGTTGTTGAGATTTTTGCCTGTGAAGTAACAGGAAGTGATGTCATAGGGGAATGTCTGCATGTAAACAGAGCGTTGCTGCAACAGCTAACAACTCGGGCTGTAGAGAAGAATCTGATGTTTCTTTAGATTGTTTTGAGTCACTATTGTTTCAATAAACAAAGACCGGAGAGTTTTCTTTGTTCAAGAGTTCCCCTCTGATGTCACTTCCTGTTTCACTTTAGCTGAGCCAAGTTCAAAAGAAAATATGCCAGTTTTCGAACAAAATGGGTTAAATCGTTTGTATTATTCCAACTTTCTTAAACATAAAGATGTTTTCTTTGACTTTTGTGTTTGAAGAATATGCACGTCACAGGCACTTTAAGCTGGGTTTAGAACTAAAATAATCCTGGATGTTGGAGCTTTTATCAGAACATTATTAAGCATTTATTTAAAATGACTGTTCATCATTATCACCCACTACATCTGGGATTAATTACAGGTTTTAAATATGTTAAAGTTCATGTAACAGATCCAACAGATGTTTGATTATTACTGAGCTTTCATACAAACCCCGTTGTTGCTCAGCAGGATTAACATTCCTGAACGTTGTAACGTTCAACACAAGTGCGTCCTAAAAATAAATCATTAACGAGCGTCAAAGCTTTTATTAAAACGTTTCCTCTCATTGATCCTGTAAAGACTTGAAATATTTTCTCCTAATGAAGCCGAATTAAAGCCGAGCTGCAACTCCACGCAAACTGTGTGAACTCCTCAAAGAGGGGATGAAAGAGACGACACTGAGAGCTAACAAAAGAAGAAACTCCCTCAAACACGTTTTACAGAAAATCCAACAAAAGCAGAACATCATCATCATCATCATCGTCATCATCATCATCAAAAGCAGGCAGCTGCCTGAAGCTAACTTCAGCTGTGATCAAAAGAAAAACATCAAAAACACCTTATTCTGCAGCACAGCACCGGTCATTTTTAGCTGTTTCTACATGAAGGTTGGGAAACAGAGACGGCACTGTGCAAAAGTCTTGAGTCACCCTTTATATCCTGCTTCAGTACGTTTTCTCTGGACTTTAGCTGCTTTTTCTTTTAATGTGGTTAAAACGTTTACAACAACAGCATTTTGATAAATATAATAAATAAATAAATACCTTATCTATGAGTTGTTCAAATGAAATATATTCTTTAAGAATAAGAAAAAAATGATTTTGAGCAAAAAAAAAAGGCATCAATTTGACACTTCCTTGCGAGCTAGCAATGTTTTTTTTTTTGCAGCTTGCAAATCTTAAAGTGCCTGTGACATCAAATTTTGTAATAAATAGGAATGTATTTTTGAAAAGATAACATTGACAACATATTGTAAAAAAGATTTCATGCAGCTCAGATGAACAGTTGTTGAGATATCTGCATGTACAGTAACAGGAAGTGATGTCAAAGGGGAATGTCTGCATGTGAACAGTAAAATGGCTAACAACACAGACTGTAGTGAAGAATCTGATGTTTCTGTAGATTATTTTAATTACTATCATAGAGAGATGAGGAAGAGTCAGAGTTCAAATAATATTGTTTTAATAAATAAAGTTTTCTTTCTCGAAGAGTTCCCCTTTGATGTCACTTCCTGTTTCACTTGAAGCAAAGTTCAAAAGAAAGTAAGCCAATTATGTGACATAATGGGTAAATTCACGTGTATTATACCAAGTTTCCTAAATATAAAAGATGTTTTCTTTGACTTTTTGTATTTCGTGGATATGCACTGGATGTCTCAGGCGCTTTAATTTCATAACATTGTTATGGTTTCTTCTTTAAAATATGAGGACAGGTTTGACGGAAGAGTTTGGAGAAAAAAACTCTAGAAGGGCTTGGGTGTAAATTAGTGACAAGCCCCCCAAAAAATACAAGCATGTTTGGCTGCTTGGAATCAAATCATAAAGAAATTAGGGGAAGTTTGGCACAAATCCTGGTGACTAATTGTGTAAAAAAAACAAAATTAAACAGCTACTTTTCAACAGAGCTGAAACGACGCAGCCGTTTTCAAAGAAAACGGTTCAAAAAGTGCGTGTGGCAGTAAAAACACGGGAACGATCCCTCCTAAGAACAACTCGGAACGTCTGCGGTAAACAGAGGATAAAAGAAAAACTTTCCTCTTTGTTCTGAGCCTAAAAGGTTTTTTTAGAAGAAGCAGTTTTGTAGACGGGTAGATGGTTTCTGTGTCTTCAGACCTTCAAAGTTCTGGGACTGTTTGGTGGAAAACGCAGGTGATGAGTTTCTCTCCGCCTGCTCTGCCATCTCCATCCACACAAACCGTGTTTTTATGGGATCTAATTGTTTGCTCTTCAAAGCAGCATCTGGTTTCCCATGATGCAGCGCCAGAACGAGTCCCCGGGAAAAGACAAAAAACAAAAACAACAAAAAAGAAAGAAGCAGGAACGGTCCCGACTGCATGTGGAACAGAAACGCCTCGAACCGTTTCTGTTCCCAATCAGAGGATCAGAGACGAGCAGACGTAATCAGAGCCAAAATAAACAAACAATAAAGAGTTAAAGTTTTAAGAAYAAACAGAAAAGTTGATCTCATGAGAGGGATACCTCTGTGGTGGACAGCACCGTGTCTTCGTCCAGGCTGAGGACGGCGTCCGTCGTGATGGAGTCGTACGGCAGGAAGCGGCTGCTCATGACCTGCGGGGAGACAGGAAGTAGGGTTAGGACCAGATCAGACGACGTTTTTGACCCCGACACCAGTTTGTGTTAAAGCTGCGGGTCGGACAYGTTCGGTGTTTTCCATGTGGCGCTAATATAGATGTGACACAGACACAAAGACCAACATCTTGAGGATATTTAGATGGAAAGTCTTTGGCCCGTTCAAAACAAAACACACAAAGCAGCTCGCATGAAAACACAAAGAGTCGCACAAAGAGCTTAAAAGAAAGCRTTTGTCGTTGACCCGTTTCCTCTGTAAACACCTGCGATCCTCCGCCGGCTGTGACCCCGCCTCCCRACAGGTCCTAATCACTCCCGCAGCTTCGGGCAGAAAAAACAAGCAAACAAACAAACAGGAAAACAAGAGTACATGTYGGCGCCGCCACACAGCGTGAGGCCCGTTATCCTGCAGCTCCACGCTGCTTCATTATTAACCAACCGGAGGGAGGACGAAACGCCACGGAGCAGCGAGTCTGAGGCGAGGAACGGGTTTTAATCTGAAGAAATGTTCAGAGCGCTGCCTGGTGACGAGGGTCTTCAACAGAAAACTGCAAACAGCTGAAAATCAAGATTTCTAAACAAAACTGAGTCATTTAGAACAACTGAGCTGAAAAAAAAAAAACTAATGGTGAAAACTAATAATTTGATGCACGTGATGAAGRTTCCTACAGGGAATACTTGGTTCAGTGTTTTTCAACGGTTTCTACAGTAAAACTGCTTCAGGACCTCCCTGCTGAGACCTGATGTTTCAGCAGTTCAGACTGGGAGATATTTAGCTTTTTCTGCCTCTTTTTCTCATTGAAAATAATTGGAGTCGTCTTAAACAACCTTAAAACTCTTCAAACTGTTCTTCAATCTTTACTGGACTTTTTACCTTTTTTCACTCTGATATTTTCCTTTGACCTTTTTTTTAGTTGATTTTAGCTATCATTATGACCTTTTCTGCTACTTTTCTGCTAATGACATTTTTTTAATGCTTCATTCAGTTGCTTTCTGCTAATTTTAGCTGTTTTCTGTATTTCAGCTACTTTTTTAGCCAATTTGATCTTTTGTTTTTTAAAATAAATTCACCTTTTTGTGATAATTTCATGTTTTTCTGCTTAATTCAGCAGACGTGCTCTTTCTGTTTCTATACACTTATTTCAGCTACTTTTCCAGCTATTTTTCTGCTAACAACAAACTAATTTCAGTTTTTTTTACTCGTTTATCACCGTTTGCTAATTTCAACTGGTGAAATGAGGACCCCTTATTAATTTCAAGGTCACAAATAAAAGGTGAAGGTCACAGGCAATTTTTCTTCTGCTTTTAACTRTTACATTTTTTCCCCAATATTTCCTAATTTCTGCTMATTTTAGCKACGTTTCTGCTCTGTTCAGGTTTTGTGACACATTTTAGTTGTTTCTCAACAGATTTTTCACTTTTGTTTTCCTACTTTCAGCAAAAGCCAAAATGAACCCACTTTAAGTTTTGCTATTAAACCTTTTCAGCAACAATATTTCAGCATTAAGTGATCGCTTTGTCGTTACGCAGGAAATGCTAATTCTTTATTTAAACATGTTTTAACAGAACAGCCAATAACTAGAAAAATGACAGAGAAGAGAGCTGGTTTATTACCTCAAAACTCCCAGATTTTCCTTATTTCTTGTTTATATTTGTGTTTTATTGTGTTAATAATAACAATAACAGATTATTAGGTTTATCTGAAAAAGCAAAAGATAAAAAAAAACATGAAACAGCTCCTCTTCACCCTAAACCCAGAACCTCCAGGTCTGTTTTTAAAATCCTAGCTGTGTTTAATAAGAGAACATGAAAAGTTCGTCCTGCAGGCAACAACTTTCAGCTCCACGCTGAACGTGACAGACAGAATACCAACGAAGAAGACGGCAGAGAAGCAAAAGGAAAGTGACAGCGAGACAAACAGAGAGAGACARAGACGGGATGAGAGGCTGATGTTCGCAGCCCCCCCTCCCTGATGGTTGTAACKTTAGAAGTGAGACGTTTTAGCCCGGGGCTTCCTGCTGCTCTCCAGGAATGTGAGCTCCTGCAGCRGGAATCTGCCTGCAGCAGAGGACGGGGACGGGAGGACCACGAACAGACGGAAACTGAAGGCTTTAGTGACGAACTGATCAAATTTAATTAAAAGCAAAGAATTCATTAACCTTGAAAATAACAAAAACAAGGATTATTAAACACGAGCTTTTTTTCCCACCAGAACAAGAACATGATCTCCATTTCTAAAACTTATTAACATGAAAAAATAAAACAAGGACAGTCAGGAGCAAAATGAGGATGAGAGAAAAAAAACGAAATGATGTGTGGGGGAGGTAGAGGATGAAAGTGAGAGGAGAGAAGAAAGAAAAATGGCAGAAAAAAGGCAAAGAGGGATGAAAAACATTTCCTGCCTCTCCCTGTGTGGGGTGGAAGAACACAGCTTGGCTCGCCGCAGTAAACACAGAAAACACCACAATCACAACAAACCACAGGCTGCCTGGCACACACACACACACACACACACAGTTCTCTCTCCTGGACACACACACACACACAGACTGGAGGCGTCCCGTTCTGACCGGCAGCTTGGAGGAAACTACTCAGAGGATCAGGAGAGGAAAACCTCAGACCAGCGGAGCGACACTGATGTGGAAATCACTTCCACTGATTATCAGCCGAATTTTAGCTCCTACAAGAGCGGGGACGAGAGGGGGACGTCTTCTTTTACGTAACAGAAAATACAAACGGCGGCGCTGCGAGGTGTCTCACTTTACAATCACATTCATGTGTTTTTGTCAGACAGGAAGTGAGAGTTCAAATCAAACCGTCGTTCTGTCTGATCCACATCAAACGTCTGTTTGGATCTAGAAATCTGACGGGAACCTGGAAGCTGAAGCCAGAACAGGTTCAAATTCCATAAAACAAAGACAACTTTGTTGGAAAAGTAAAATTAAAAACATCTGGGTCAGGGCTCTGCAACCTGCACCTCCGGGACCACATATGGCTCTTTGAAAATGTGACCAAACATAACAAATTTATCTTTTTTTTATTGTTATACCCACAACAGAAATCCATTTTTATGCAAATATGAGATCCATACTACTAATACAAAAAGTAAAACATGTTAGCTCACGCTAGCTTGTTGTTTACTTAAATAATCCAACTTCTATGATCTTTCTCTCAAAACTACCAGATTTTTAAATAATTTGAAGACGACCTAATAATAAGAATTAGAAAAAATATGAATAATTCAGTTGTACTAGTTTTTATAAAATTCTGTATAAACTATATACAATATTGTTCTTGTTTACAAGAATATGGTCTTTTTATTTGTCCTGATGTGTATAATAAATAATAATAATAATTTTTTGTTTTATAATGTCACCAGCACTGACTGGAAAGGCCTGGAAAAGGCCCACGGACCATAAGTTGATTATCAGTAGTTTGTTTTGCGGCTCCGGACACGTTTTATTAGTGAGAAAAGAAGAATAAATGTCTCTTTTGGTTGTAAAGGTTGCAGACCCCTGACCTGGGTTAATGGTTTTCAGGTGTTGACTCTTTGATTTATTTTAATTTTTAATTAGTTCATTGATGTTTTAAATGAAGGTCATGTGATGGTGTGCAGGGGGTCCGGGGTTGAGGGTTAAAGCCCCACAGTGCTGCTGACTTCTTGTCCAATGTTTTTTTAATTAAATAAAAAGTGATTAAAATTTTATTCTCATTATGTGACTTTTGGCTTCACTCTACGCTTTTTTAAGTTGACYGTTTTTCCAAAATAAATGCATCCACTCGATAGAAATCTGTAATTAAAGCAAAGAAACGTACAGATAAATCTAAAATGAAAAAAAAAAAACCTCGTACTTCTGAACAGTCTCTCTCCAACACGCAGCAGGCAGTCGCCTCCAGTCGTTCTTTTTAGCAGAGTATAAAATTCTCATTACTGAGGTTAAATTAAAACCACATAAACTGTCCTTTAATGGAACCAGAGCAGCACAAATCGAAACTCATTAACTCTCAGAGAATAAAAACGTGTCAAGATACAGTAGGTTTACTGTCATAGAATATCATGAGCTGTGTAATTAGAAATGATAGGGATCGCACCTTCCAGGTGTGTGTGTGTGTGTGTGTGTGTGTGTGTGTGTGTTCACCTTATTCTCTCCCTCGATGACGATGACGGGCACTGAGGTGGCGGGCCAGCGGTGTTTTGCGGGGAGAGGCTTGTCGCAGTTCCACAGGACGATAATCTGAAAGGCAGAATAAATAAAGTTCATCTCTCAGCTCGAGGTTCCAGCTTGTTGCTGAATCAACCCGCCGAACGGCTGACATTTCCTGTGCCTTGTGACCAGCGAAATGTCACCTCGTTACYGGGCCACCATTCCACGTTAGAGAAGCAAAAAGGCCGAGCGAAGTGATAAACTGCTTCCAATTATCACTGCGCGGCGGCGTTTTGTTTCCGAGCAGAAACGAGCCGATGGAGTCGCCTCGTCCTGACGAGGAGGAGGACGAGGTGGACGTGTCCTCGCAGCCCGGGTGACGCAGCTTCACACGAGGAGGTCGTGTTTCTCCACGACTTGAACATCGAGTCAGCAACCTGCAGGTCAACCAATTCACTGCTCTACAACAGCAGAGCTCATTAATATTTAATAGAATCACACACACACACACACCTCCTTGTGTTTGCATCAAACTGAGGACTTTTGTTTTGACTTCCATTCATTTTTGTAACAGTATTTATGCCTAACCCAGACATCTTCCCTACAATTAACCATTACTGGTCTATAGTAGTGCTGGGCGGTATACTGTTTTGTACCGAATACCGGTTTTTATTTTTGTTATGATATGAATCTTTTGAATACCGGACATTCCGGTTTAAATAGCGGAACGATTCGTCGCGGCCGCCAGTGAACTGTTGTTTCCCGGGGGACATTTTTCCTTGCTGCACCACTATGTGCGTTAGCATGCTAATGTTTGGAGCAGCTAGTTGCAGCCGCGGGTGGCGATTCCGTTGCTTATATTGACTGACGTTTAAAAAAACATCCTGTTTTCGCCGTAGCTGAATGTAGTAAACACATCTTCAGTGACGTGCACAGTTAGATTTAACGTGGTTAGTTAATATGGAGACGTTATGCTGATGAAGACTTAACGTGGTTTTATTGTGAAAAGCCTGCAGGAAGTAGTTCGTAGTGGAGTTGGAATTGACTGGTGTGCAAGGTGAGTAGTGCTGATAAACTTTAATAATAACATAAAACAATAAACCCGATCATAATCTTTTCTTAACCCTCCTCCTTCACGACTGGACCAAAATGCGTGACTACTGTCTCCAACCAGTCAGAGAAGAACAGACACAGAGGAGGGAAACAGCGACACAGACAGAGGTACAGTAAAAGAAAAAAAGTCAATAAGCAGGGTTTGTACATTTTATTATCAGCTGAGCTGTGATGAAAAGAAAAATACCATCAAATACCGTGAAACCGGTTAAAATGTTGAAAATACTGTGATATAAAATTTTTAACATATCGCCCAGCTCTACTCTATAGTTAACACTAAACTGAACCAGAACTTAATTCACACCAAACCTCTAAACCTAACAAGTAAAGAACAGCAGAGCTGCAAATAAAGTGAAAACTGGGAAAATGTCCTCAGTTTATTGATTAAAAACCTGACATGGTCCTCACTAAGTAGCCAAAACAAGTACACACACACACACCTATATATACAGAGCAGAGTTGTAAAGTAACTAAGTACAAATACTTTGTTACCGTACTTAAGTAGAATTTTTGGGTATCTATTTACTGTAATTATTTTTCAGCCTACTGTTTACTTCTACTTCTTAAATTTTCACACARTTATCTGTACTTTCTACTCCTTACATTTAAGAAAAAAGGCTAAAAGTAGAAAGTTGTTACTTTTATTTAATTTTTGCTTGTTTTAATTCCAGCATGATATTGTAAAAAATAAATATTTTCCATATAAACTGTGCCTCCTAGATGGAGTGAATTTAACTGTGGTTGAATGAGAAGTATAAATATATAAAACTGTATTAGTTTGTACACAAAGAAATCATGTCACACTCCAGCAGGACATAATCATTAAAATAAAAGGACTGTACTTAGGAAGTATTTGTATTTCATGAATTATATTAATGTATTTGGCCGCAGCCCTCAGATTTTCATTTTGGAGAAAATGTTTGTGCAGCCTTGATATATGTGTATAAACTGAAACAGCTGGACTAGTGCATCCTAAATTTAACATAAATTATTTTAATAAAATATAGTCATTTCTGCAGTTTTTTGTTGAGGTCACCTCCTGAAAAATATCCTTACAGAAAATCTAACTGCTCATTATAAATCAATACTTTTACTTTTAATACTTAAATACAAAACATATCAGATACTTTAAGACTTTTACTCAAGTAATATTCCTAAAGGAGACTTTAACTTTTACCAAAGTAAGTTTTTGGTAAGGTTGTACTTTTACTCAAGTATCACTTTGTGGTACTTTATACAACACTGCCTCAGAGTTCCTGAGCAGACTCAGAGGGTCGTGCTGCTCTGAGCTGATTCTCATCCAGGTCACAACGACCCAAAGTCCTTCACCAGAAGAGAGGCGGGCTTAAAGAGAACTTCACCTGCTGAAACCTGGACGAGCATCTGCCCGACGTGAGCAATCAGACGTGCTAAAAAGGTTTACATCATCCGACTGACGCCTGCTTCACACGGTTAGATTTTAAAAGCTGAGAGACTCCAGAGGATGTGAAGGTGTGGTCCTGCAGTGTGTGCTGCACRGACACGTGACAAACACAACAGATTTCACTCAATCATTCAGAAGGGAAGTCTCACGAAACCTCTCGAGATCAAACGTGAGTTCAGAGTAAACAAACATGGCCGACTGTTTAGTTCTCGTGTGTTTTTGTTTGGTTTTTACTGCATTACGAGCCCTGCAGGACCATATAGTTCAGTTCTTTCACRATTCACGTGGACTCTAATGTGACCTCTGTGGAAACTGGGGCTTCACTCTCATTTTAAATCTTTTGTATCAGTAGTTTAACCTGATTTGTTTGGAACACTGACCACTCTTCCCTGCAGCTGTCCCTCACCGGACTGAAATCGTCCCGTTTGTCCTCAGATTTGGACACGAGTCCCAGTCCAAAGTAGTTTAATGTGACACACAAAAAACAAAACAGTTTTTGCTCTGATTTTCACGGTCCTCCTTTTCCACGTGGATGAAAACCTTTCAGGAAACGATGTCTTTATGAAGTTCTTGTAGAAACGAAAAGTATTTTCTGAGAGAAGCAGGCCTCAGGTTCATTTCTTTTGAAATACCGTATTTATTCATGTATAATACGATCTCATGTATAATACGACCCCCCCTTTTTTAGCATAAAAAGCATAAAGAATTTAATCCTCAAACTACCTCCAATTTCATACAGACTTCAAGATTTTTCAGCCTTTGCAGTCTTTATCCATATCAGTAAAATG